TGATATAATATTGTATGATAATGTATAAGATATGTAAAAATGTCTTGTGGAGACTTGTGAATCAGAATTGTGAATCAGAACTGTTTAATCCGTTTTTTTAATTGATTCATTGAGACAAGACACTGAAAGTGAAAATGAATGACTTGGTCAGCTGTGTTGGGGATGGCTTGACATATTCAGTGGACAGAATGATTTTAAATAGAGCAGCAGGCTGGATGAGGAAGCAGAGGGCTGTGGAGTCATTCTGGAGTTTGACTCTCTCTCTGTGTTTGTAAGAATGGGAGAGCCATTGGTGTTATGACTGCAGCTCCTGGTTGTCTCTTGCACACTTCCTCTCTCCCTCTCTCTGAGGCTCACAAGAGGAACTCACTGACCACATCTGCTGTAATGCACAAACGCAACACATCAGCCTGGGGTATTTTGCTGCAAACAGCAGTTTGAGCATGTAGTTTCTCATAGAGTTGAGAACTTTTATGATTCCTCCTTATTAAGTCATGGCACAGAAGTGTTGATGTATTCATATACAATGGAGTCAAAATGTCTCGAGTCCCCATTGAAAGAAAACTTGGTATTCAAAATCTACTTTAAAAATAAAAAAGGAAGTAACAGAATTTTCACCAAATATTTTCTGATTTAATCCCAATTTTTTTCTAATGCAATGATACACTCTCTCTCTGTCAGGTTTTGGTCCATATGAGGCCGCTGTCTTGCAGATGAGCCATCAGTGGGGGCTGTCGTGTCGCAGACCCAGATAGTGACTGGTGGCTGCGGCCCAGGCCCCGCCCCCTCCCAGCATGCCCAACGCTGCTCGCACGGGGAGTCTGAAGGACCCCGAGATCGCAGATCTCTTTTTTAAAGAAGACCCCGAAAAACTCTTCTCAGACCTAAGAGAGATCGGTCATGGCAGCTTTGGCGCTGTATACTTTGTGAGTATTTTTGCATCTCCCAACAAAATGGCTTTTAAACACTGAAGTCATAATCATTCTTCTACTAAATGAATGAATTTATCTATTTTTTTTAAAGGCACGGGATGTGCGGACCTTGGAGGTGGTGGCCATCAAGAAAATGTCATATAGTGGAAAACAGTCTAATGAGGTGAAAATAAACACTAATTTTCTCATGTTGTTCTTTCTTTTTAAGTTAAGAGAGATTACACAGGATTGTGTCTCCCTCCAAACTGTAACCTATGCATGTATTCCATGATTCATTATTTAATCAGAGCTCTGATGCATAGTGTCTTTTTCTGTTCACCAATAAATATGTTAAAGTTTTAAGGCCAGATCTATTAAACAGGGCAGATTTGATCTCATTAAAGCACTGATGGGAGTGTGAAGTTCTGTGGGTGATCTACTGACAATGCGCAAATTATAGAACACCAGCACATTTCCATAATGACCAATGCAGTCTACCACGAGCAGCACAAATTAGCATAAGCTCGCAAACAAGCAAAGCCGATAATAATCAGGTGTGAATAATCTACTAACAACATGGGTGCAAAATGGGTTAAGACATAAGACATACTTATTTGGGTGTTAAATAATGGCACAAATACCAGCAAATTGTCTACTGCAAACCTTAGTAAATCACCTTGCACACTCCTCCCATAAATTTTGTGTCTGAAAAGCAAACTCATACAAATGCATATGCAATATAAAAGAACAATTCTTATAAACAGGAATGAAAGAAAAGGCTCTGTTGACTGTTTATCTGAAAGTGCATTGCATAGTTATACATTTCATATGCATTGGTTCATTGTATAACTGTTTGCTTTCTGTTCTTATCATTTTTTTTTCCAGAAATGGCAGGATATAATAAAGGAGGTGAAATTCCTTCAGAGGATAAAGCACCCAAACAGCATAGAGTATAAAGGATGCTACCTGCGAGAGCACACAGCATGGGTAAGAAACCCAACCCAGCTAGCAGCTATCAGATCACATCTTTTTTTATATGAACAGTCTGATATATTTGTTTTCTATATGCATGGACTATTTGCTGATATGTGTCTCTGTCTCTCTAGCTGGTTATGGAGTACTGTCTGGGGTCTGCCTCAGATCTCCTCGAGGGTAAGCTTGGATGTTTTGATGCTTGCTTAATGTGTCGATTCCCACAAAGATATGTTGATTCCATATATGGCCTCAAGTTACAAACAAAGGAGCATTTATTTATAGAAGTATTTGTTTATCTTCAGAGAGACCTCTACAAACCAATTTTTTTTTACCCACAGTACACAAAAAACCTTTACAAGAGATGGAAATAGCAGCGATTACTCATGGTGCTTTGCAGGGGTTGGCGTACCTTCACTCCCACAACATGATTCACAGGTGAGTTCTCATGTTAGCGCTTGAGTTAGTTAAGCCCAAAGTATACTTCGTTTTTATATGCGTACGCTAGAGTATGCGTATAGTCGAACGCGTAGCCTTTCAAAGTATACTCTTTGTATACTCCATTTGATGTTGTGCGCTATTTTGTTGTTGTTCTGTCTCTTTAGTTTCGTTTTCTACTGTGAAACAGCGGCCCGGGACAGTGTTGCCACCTTGTGGAACAACTGATTACTGCAAAACAAATTCAATGCGCATGTGCGACCTGCGCGTACAAAGTAAAAAGTGAAGTATACTTTGGGCTTAAGAGTTTCTTAGTACCAAACCTGATTTAAAATATATATATATATATTACATCATATTTAATGTAGAAAACTTCAAATTCGCTCAAAAATTTCTATTATCTATTTACAAAACTGTTAATTTGTAAAAGGATAATACCAGTGCAATCAATTTATCACTGAAATGGCAAGTATTTGCAGGTTAATATGCCTTGTCAATATTTAAGTCTGTAGCTATACATAATGTCTCAAACCTGTGAATGTTGACATTATTAGCTATATAAAGCAGGGCAGAGTGTGGTTCAGTTTTGTAAGTTTACCCTTTCCTGGCTGTTTGACAGGGATATCAAGGCTGGGAACATCCTGCTCACAGAGCCTGGACAGGTGAAGCTGGCAGATTTCGGTTCTGCTTCAATTGCCTCTCCTGCTAATTCATTTGTGGGGACTCCTTATTGGTGAGTTACCCATTTATCTTCAAGACTTTCAGTGGTTATAAACTTCAAAGGCCTTATCAGACTATATAAATTAATTGTTCATAGGGAAGTCTGCAGTTAATCAGGTTTTAAAGGCCTTAAAAGGTCTGTTAGATTCTGTCTAGGCCTTCCAACTACTAAAATTTATTATTGATAGTTTATGGTTGTATTACATAACACTGGAGTCTTCTGTTTTTCTTAAAACGTTTGCGGTTTCCTCTATCTCAGGATGGCCCCAGAGGTGATCCTGGCCATGGATGAGGGTCAGTATGATGGAAAGGTTGACATCTGGTCTCTAGGAATAACCTGTATTGAATTAGGTGAGATGAAATAGGATTCATAAAGACTTCATTTTTTGCTCAGGTACCCAGTCTGTTTTTCTGATAGTCTTCTTGCCCTTCAGCTGAAAGAAAACCACCACTCTTCAACATGAATGCAATGAGTGCCTTATACCACATCGCGCAGAATGAGAATCCAACCCTGCAGTCCAGTGAATGGTGAGTGATGGCTTTTCATTAACCTTTCTCAACTCAAAGCTGTATTGTTTGAAATCTCGCTCTTTCTTTTCCCAGGACGGACTACTTCAGAAACTTTGTGGACTCCTGCTTACAGAAGTTGCCCCACGATAGACCCAACTCTGAAGAACTGCTGAAAGTAAGTTAAAGAAAGTTCACTGTTCAAACAGAAGGATGGAGTTCAGTGAGTTCTCTTTTGTAGATTCTATTGCAATGCTTAGGGACACTGTAAGAATTCATTTATTTTAATGTGATCTTTTCTATCGTCACCACACTTTGATGCCTTTAGCTGTTATTCTGAAAGCTCTGGCTTTCTCATGTTTTCTCGCATCTGTGACACAAGGGAGTTTGTAATGCAAAGCCTAACAACAAAAAGTTTATTTGTTGACCTGTTTGAGGTAGTAGTTCGGATTAATATGAAAAAGATAAAAACATATTAATATAACAATAATAAAACAACAAAATGTAATGTTTTCTTCTTTAAAAAAGTGCAACTTTTGTTTTTTTTACTTTTATTGTTTTTAGTTTGTTGTAAATACCTGAAATTACTTCTTATGATAAATGTTGGAAACAGCTGTGCTGCTTAATATTTTTGTGGAAACCATGATACGTTTTAGGATTCTTTGACAAACAGAAAGTTCAAACGAACAGTCAGAACAGTTACTGTCACTTTTGGTCAGTTTAATTCATCTTTGCTGAATAAAATTGTTAATTTCTTAAAAAAAAAAAATGTAACGGTACTTAACCCATACTTTTGAATGGCAGTTGAGCTCTGTAATATGTGAATCTACTGGTTCAGTTGAAGCTGATAATATTTTAAAGTAAAAATTCTCACTCAGTGTCTTTTGAAGCATCTGATCCTTTTATCTTGATCATCATAACCTCCTCTTTCTGTGTGCAGCATGCGTTTGTCCAGCGCGAGCGGCCGGATTCGGTGCTTATTGATCTGATCCAGCGCACCAAAGATGCTGTGAGAGAGCTGGACAACCTGCAGTACCGCAAAATGAAAAAGATCCTCTTCCAGGAGGCCCACAATGGCCCTGCAGCAGAGGTCCCAGACGATGAGGAGGTCAGTTATTGTAATAGCATATCTCGACCTCCTTCGACCCTTGGTACACTGCCAAATGTGTTTTCCTGCCAAGGGAGGAAGTTGTGTTTTGTCCTAGTTTCTAGAAATGCACGGCCTCAACACATACAGGATATTTTTACTGAAAGTATGTTTCCATTAATTTAATGTGTTGTAGGAGGTGGAGCACAGTGTTGGCCGCACAGGTACAGTGAACAGTGTGGGCAGTAACCAGTCCATCCCTAGCATGTCCATCAGCGTGAGCTCACAGAGCAGCTCAGTTAACAGCCTGCCTGATGCCGCAGACGATAACAAGAGCGAGGTGGACCTGATGGAGAAAGACCAAACCATCATACCCAACAGCTCCATGCTTCACATCAAACCGGTTTGTGCACGTCCACAAAGTATTTACATTACATTTATTCTCTAAAAAGTGACTTGCTTTGTATTATATGCAAAGGGTATATAATCCTTTCACATCATTATTTAAATACTTTTTCACACTGGTCTATAATTGTGATAGCATGTATTGCAGATTTACCCACCACTAAATCTCATGCAAAAATGAAGCAAACTGTGGTTGTTTGCTTTACATGTCAATCAGACAGTCTCCTCCTGGCTTTAATTAACAGCCTTAATCATGGACCAGACCTTCTGCAGTTTAGTCAAAGGCTACAAGACACTACAAATTGATAGTTAAGGCAAAGTTTAAGTAGTCAAAGTTGAGTACTAATGTGCTTGAAATATTAATAAAGCCCATCTAGCTGTATTTTTAAGAGGTGAGATCTTTGTAACTGCTCATTGACTGTCTTTGAAATCCAAAGCACACTGAACATATCATACATGCTTGTTCTGTTTTTAGGGTTAGTTCACCCCAAAATTAAAATTCTATCATTAATTACTCACCCTCATGTCGTTCCAAACCCGTAAGACCGTTCATATTCAGAACACAAATGAAGATATTTTTGATGGAATCGAGAGCTCTCTGACCCTCCCATAGACAGCAAAGCAACTGTAATGTTTCCAGGTCCAGAAATGTAGTAAGGACATCGGTAAAATAGTCCATGTGACATCAGTGGCTCAACTTCAATTTTGCGAAGCTACGAGAATATACTAACCTTTTAATATGCTTCATGTGTCTATTATGTATACTTAAATTATACTAATATGCTTAATTTGTCTGAAGGAGGAAGAGAGCTACCAGGAAGAAACCGAGGCTCAGAAACAGCCCACAGAGCCTCAGTCTCCCCCAGCACAGACACCACGGCGTCAATACCGGAATCGAGAGCACTTTGCCACCATTCGGACAGCCTCCCTGGTGAGAGCCAGATTACCACCCAAGAACAGATTCAGGGAGTCTGTTTGCTCTCGGATCACTTCAAGTTTAATAGTTCACTGTTTTCTACAACACTTGAGGGATAAAAGCTGGTTTCTTGACAGATCTGGTCTTTGTGTGTCATAGGTGACGCGTCAGATTCAAGAACACGAGCAGGACTCTGAGGTGCGTGAGCAGATGTCTGGCTACAAACGAATGCGCAGGCAGCACCAGAAACACCTTCTGGCCCTCGAGAACAAGCTGAAGGGCGAGATGGACGAGCACAGACTCAAGCTAGACAAAGAACTGGAGAACCAGAGGAACAGCTTTGCTGCCGAGATGGACAAACTCATCAAGAAGCACCAATGCACCATGGAGAAAGATGTACTGTAACATTATTATACAAAACCAAATCATAAACATCATTAATTGTTAATGTGTAAGGTCAAAAAGATGTTAAAAAGTCAGAATCGTCTGTTTATGATGCATCATTCTGCTTTCCAGGCCAAGACTTTTGCCAACGATGAAAAGAAGTTCCTGCAGCACATTCAGAGCCAGCAGAAGAAGGAGCTCAACAGCTTCCTGGAGTCTCAGAAACGCGAGTACAAACTGCGCAAGGAACAGCTCAAAGAGGTCAGGAAGCCAATCTGGACAGCTTCACTCTTATCCTCATTATATTCCATTGCACATTCCCATTTATTGCACTTTTTCATTGCAGGAGCTGAATGAGAACCAGTCCACACCAAAGAAGGAGAAGCAGGAGTGGCTGTCCAAGCAGAAGGAGAAATTCCAGCACTTCCAGGCAGAGGAGGAGGCCAACCTACTTCGCCGGCAGCGGCAGTATTTGGAGCTTGAGTGCCGCAGGTTCAAACGGCGAATTCTCATTGCACGTCACAACGTGGAGCAGGATCTAATGAGAGAGGTTAGCAGACGGCGAGCTTGCATGTACACAAACTCACAAATCCAAATTTAGTTTCCATTTTTGGCTTTAAACTGTGCCAGAAATAAGTGACATTAATTAGTCTGACATTTGTCTGTTCTCAGGAGCTGAATAAGCGTCAGACGCAGAAGGATCTAGAGCACGCCATGCTGCTCCGACACCATGAGTCTATGCAGGAGCTGGAGTTCAGACACCTGAGCAACATCCAGAAGATGCGTGCAGAGCAGATACGCCTGCAGCACCAGACAGAGCTCACCAACCAGCTGGAGTACAACAAGCGCAGGGAGAGGGAGCTCAGACGCAAACACGTCATGGAGGTCCGACAGCAGCCCAAGAGCCTCAAGGTAATGTCACTCGAGTTTTCCAGACAAGATTGTAGGTTGCAATTCCTTGAAAAGAGGCTTAGCTATAGCATGGTGGTTGCAGAACTGGGCTGGCAACCAAATTGTTGTTCAATTACAGTGTTAGCCAAATTACTGTTTAAAATTTAAAATAAGGTTTAGGATTAGTTAGGGCATGAAAAAATTTGACTCAGCTGATTTCTTATAGGGATGGGTCATAGTGGTCAACTAATCAATGAGGTCAACTAGTTTAGAATTTTTTTCCCATTTATTGTTTGTATTTATGACTAGTCAACTAACTAGTTGTCCAACAATTGACTAGTTCATTAGTGAGGTTGACTAGTTTTAGAATTTCTTTTATTATTATTTGTGTATTTATGACTGATTAGCTAGCAATCCAACAAATGACTAATTAGTGAGGTAGACTATTTTTAGATGGTTTTTTTTCTTAATTATTATTTGTACTTATAACAAGTCAACTATTTTTCCAACAATAGCTAGTTGATTAATGAGGATCGCTGCATTCAATTTAATTATTTTGCACTCATTCCAGCTGTTTTTGAACACATAAACGTGTCCCATTTGAATGCTCCTTAAGGAAAGTGTCTAAAATCTGAAACCAGCCCATCACTTTCTTTTGAATGACCAACTAATTGAGTTTGAACATATGTAGTTTTGCACATCCCTAATTACTTCATTTTTCCTAACTTGTTTAGTTTACTGGTGTTTATTTTATCTCTGACAGTCCAAAGAGCTACAGATCAAGAAACAGTTCCAGGATGCATGTAAGACCCAGACCCGGCAGTACAAAGCCCTGCGAAACCAGCTGCTGGAGAGCATACCAAAACCCGAACACAAGACCATGCTGAAGAGACTGAAGGAAGAGCAAACCAGGAAACTAGCAATCCTCGCCGAACAGTATGACCACACCATCAACAACATGCTCTCCACACAGGCTGTGAGTACCAGACTGAGAACAATACGCTAAAACTGTTTCACCATCAATCCCTGATCAACTAATATAGATGATCTCTCTCAGTTGCGTCTAGACGAGGCACAGGAGGCAGAGTGTCAGGTGCTGCGGATGCAGCTGCAGCAGGAGTTGGAGTTGTTGAATGCATATCAGAGTAAGATCAAGATGCAGACGGATGCTCAGCAGGAGCGAGAGAGGAAGGAGCTGGAGCAGAGAGTGTCCCTCCGGAGAGCCTTACTGGAGACTAAGGTCCTACAGAGTCATTTAAACACACAATCGCTTTCAGCTTTTTTTTTTTTTTTTTTTTTTTTTAAATGTATAAATTACTTAAACTTAATAGTCAAAAAGCTATGTTCCTTTATGCTCTTGTAAAATGTGTCAAATTTAGTATTGTCATATTTGGTCATGTAGCTGAGTAAGATAAAAAAAAGAATAAAAATAAAATCGAATATAAAATAAATAGAAGTTGCCTAAATAAAAGATCATTTTTTTCTATTTATGCAATACCATTCATATTTAATCATGTCTTAAGTGCCCAAATGCTTTTTGGGGCCACTGTACATTAAACTTTTTTTTAAAACTGTATTAATAATTAAACTTGACTAACTATCCTCTGTTGTGTCCCACAGATCGAAGAGGAGATGTTGACCTTGCAGAACGAGCGCACAGAGCGGATCCGTAGCCTGCTGGAGCGCCAGGCCCGAGAAATCGAGGCCTTCGACTCAGAGAGCATGCGCTTGGGCTTTAGCAACATGGTGTTGGCTAACATCTCTCCTGAGGGCCTCAGCCACAGCTTTCCAGGGGCCCCGGCCAGTTGGATCCCCCATCAGCATCACTCAGATGGCTCTCAGGGGACACAGTGGGGCAGCAGCACTGGTTCAGGGGCCGGCCACCACTACCACTCCAGTCAGGGAGGAGCACAGGCCCAGCAGGGCTGGGGCCAAGCCATCCCAGGAGGTGGGCTTCCTCCGTGGGGCCACTCCCCCTCGGGCCCCCTAGGGGCCATGCCAAAAAGCAGCGTGGGGATGCGGAACAGCCCTCAGGCACTTAGGAGGACCACCTCAGCGGGGCGCACTGAGCAGGGCATGAGTAGGAGCACCAGCATCACATCTCAGATATCCAATGGTTCGCACCTGTCTTACACATAGACACCAGTGCGTTTGTGCCAACCCTGCACACACAAACACACACAGGGTAGGGGAACGCACTGGCCCACACTAAAGACTGGCACAGAGAGCAGAGCCAACTGCACTTGTCTACCCATCTCCCTCTATCCCCCTTTTCTTTTCCTTCGCTTTCTCATTTCACTTTCCTACATGCAGACGTGCATGTAAACGATAGCAGATATTGCTCAGGTCAAAAGAAATTCTAACTTTGTGTGAAGCTTGTTTGACAGCCATGCAGAGCTAAAGTCAAAAACACTAGTCTGATTTAAAGCTCACTTGATGAGATTCATTTAATGCTAAATATTACAGAGAAAGATATATATATATATGTGTGTGTGTGTGTGTGTGTGTGTGTGTATAAAATAGATGTTTATTCATTTAGCTTTAGTCCACTTAACGTGTGGATTCATAAACCAAAAGGATGTTAAAAGGAGATGTTGGCCATAATTCTTAAGCATAATGATTACATAAGTATACAATCTAAGCTGTCAGCCTGCTGTCATGCTCTTAGGAAAAATAATTTGGGTTTTAATAAAATAAAGAAATGGATTATGTGTGTGCAGTATATGGATTAGGAAGAGAGCTGGCCAATCTGTTGATTTTAAGTGAGTGTTTTAGTTGTCAGATTTTTAAGTTGGACGATTCATTTGCAGAGAAGATTTAGGAGTTTGCCTACATCAAGTACTGTGCTGAAATTAATGTGAAGAAAAATACACATTTCAAGAGGTTCAGAACTTGATCTTACAGACTTTTGTTACTTGTTTAGTGTTTTAAGATTTTAAACATTGCAGGCAAGCACAAATATGTTCATATCTCCAGCATACTACTTTTTATTTAGTCTGTACTTGCATTAAGCAACCTAATTATGGCCAGACAACCTGTCTTCAGTCTTCTTAGCCTTTTGATACACCCTTCATTTTATTAGGTCAGCCAGCTTTCATCTGGATCAGGGGTCCAGACACATTTAGATGTGGTGCTTTCTTGATTATTCGTTGTATGTGATGTTTTAGGTGTGCAATGCCAGCTTAAATATATATGATATATGTTCAGTGCCTTGAATGTGTTAATAGTTTAATTACTCAGTAGAGACATGCCAAGATTAATGTTTTCATGTAGCTAAAAAAAAACACTCCCAAATTTAGAGTTTAATCATGTTCCCCAAGCTAATGAAGGGACAGTATTGATCCATTTAAGAAGTGTGGATATATTTGGTTGTACACCTAAATATGAGCTTATATTATCCCACTATGTAATGCTAAACTCTTATGTTAATAAACTTTTGAGGTGCCTTTGAATAGCTGCCAAGCAGAAGCACTTTATGTAGTGTGTTGTGTTTTGAGGAATATTTTTTACACGCGTTCTCAACTATGGAAATGACTAATGCAGCCGTAAACTGTAGTGTGTGATGGCAGATGTCCAGTATGTTTACTGTTACTTTTTTAAAAGAATTCTGTGGTCATTTTAAGGAAGTGCTAGATATGAATTTGTCAGTGGTTTTAGTGCAGTACTGTCATGATTTGTCAAATTAAATGAATGCAGAAACTGTTTGAATGTACTCTGTCCTCCATCAGGTTTGTGTCATGTCTTTGACACTCTGGGAATGTAAGGAACGGTAGGAGCATGAAATGACTTCCTTTTTTTTCTGTAGGTCATGACAGCAGGCTTTGTTATGTGACACTTAACTGGCTCTTTTGGAGCAGGCAAACACTCTTGATTTGGTCTCATGATCTCCACACTAAATAGCAAATCGTGTGTTTACCGTTTCATGCTCATTCACTACCAGTCAAATGTTTGGACACATCTACTGCTTATTTTTTATTACTATTTTCCATATTGTAAATAATAGTATATTCAGTATTAGGGCTGTCCAAAAAAAATCTGAATTTCGAATATTCGTCGAATTAAAAAAAAAATTTTTGCATTCGAATTTAAGGTCTGCGTCAGCCGTCAGGCAGCCTTATCAGTGGCGCACGATGCGATGACGATGTATGTGTCATTGATTGCATTTGAATGCTTTTGTTAGCCTATCCAGTTGAACCCACTAGATGTGGCGCTGCTACGTTGTTCATTCAAAATATTGCGGAAAAAGAGAACATCAATGCTGAGATGATGTTGTTTACGTCAAAACCGAAACCAAGCCATTCACACAGAACGCATATTTATCACATTTTCTAGAGGGACATCAATCAGCGTTGTACTCACGTTTCGCATGGAGCGGCATGTTTAGAAAGCCATGTAAAATTAATGCAATTTCAACTTTTAAAAAACATGTCTAAAGACGTTATGAAATTTTTTCCCCATCCCACTGTATCTCAAGTTTTTAAATGAAGAAAGTAGCCTACTCTTTGTGATTGGTTTTCGGTCCTTTGTATTAAACTATACATACATGCATGGTGCTGTTTTTTTTCTAATTGTTTAAGCAACTTTATTAATTATATATGGTTTATAAACATTATTTTAAACATTATGCACTTTTTTTCAAAGATAGTCGTGTTATTTTATTACGCTTTGAAGAAACGTGCATAATATTTTGCTCGATGAGCCCTCTTGTGGCCTCCGGAGAGAAGCCAAAAGCTTTTTTCCCCCCTAACTGAAATTATGCCTTTTAAATTCGAATATAATTCGAATTTTGATAATATTTAAGTAGAAAATTTGAATTTAGTTTTTCAGTCATTTTGACAGCCCTATTCAGTATATATACACTACCATTAAAAAGTCTGGGGTTGGGAAGTCTTTTATGCTCTTATTTAATATGACTGTTTTCTATTTTAAAATGCAATTCATTCATGTGATGGCAAAGCTGATTTTAAGCAACCATTATTCCAGTCTTTAGTGTCGCATGATCCTTTAGAAATAATTCTGAATGCTGATTTGATTTCTCATTATTATTATCAATGTTGAACACAATTATGCTGGTTCATATTTTTGTGGAAATCATGATAAAATTACTTCAGGATTCTCTAATGAATAGAAAATTCAAAAGAACAGCATTTATTTGAAATAGAAATCCTACACTGGATAACATTATAAATGTTGTCACTTTTGATCAATTTAATGAGTCCTTGCTGAATCAAAATTATTTCTTAAAAAATATTACTGACCTCAAACTATTGAATAGTAGCGTATATTAGAGGAGCGTAGCCTTATTTCAACCAAACAGCTTTTGCCAAGTAGATTCTTAATGTTTTATGTATTCAAATTCTTGAAGAATCGAGTTAAAAAACAACGGCATTTTCCTACACGGCTTTGCACTACATGTATACAAGGAAATATTACATATAAATACATAGTATTAATTATATTTACCTACACTTAAGTTTACAAAAACATAGGAGAAATGCCAAGCAGAGATGTTTGTGAACATACGTTTGTGTGTGTGATGACTCACATATTTTCACTTTTTTTAATCGGTTCAATCTAAACGATTCACAGACATGAATCAAACTTACCAGCTTTACCGTTTTTGCTTAAATCAATCTCATCTCCTCTAATGGGAAAGTTAATGGCCAAATTCTCTCAGCGAAGTTCATGAGGTGCATCCTGGGATTCTTTTTAAATAGTATTGAAGAAGTTAGCACGCTTGCATTCAGTCAGGGGTGTCCATGTTTGACTGGTAGTGTCGTCTGTAAAGTATATGTATTTTATGAAATCAGTAGCTGCCCCAAAGATTTAACAGCCAAAAAGGGTATTTTCTCCCTCATTTGTTGGCTGTTATAAGTGACTGAGATGACCAAGTCCATGAGTAGAATTTCCTCTCAAACACGCAGGGATCTTTTCCCCTTCTCTCTCTCTGTCCTCTGTGCCACCCGTACCGCAGGTGTCAGTGCCCAGTATTGTGAGGATATGAGCTGTGCTGCCGATGCCCCTGCCTGCCCTCACTCTCCCCCACTGCTTCACATGCCATCACTCCTCGCCAAGCTCCGCCTGGCGTTTCAACACACGGATGCCTGAATGCACTTTCTTGGGGGAACTTTTCAAGCTAACTCTGTTTTCCCAAGCGAGTTTATCTTGTTGGTTTGCTTTACATCAGTTTGACTGCAGGAGTCACGTTGACTGACTCATTCTCGTGAAATTTTTACTCACGTTTTAACACTTCTGATGGAGTACAATGTTACCCTCCCCCTTCTGTTTCCATTGTGCAATCATTGGTGAAAACAAAACTCTCCCTTAATATCACAAAAGATCTTGTGTGACCCTTATTACCAAATGAATGCGGCTCTAATGTGAAAGAGTGAGTATAAAGTGTACCTACCAAACTCTAAAGTCGTCTTCTGGGGAGAGTGTTCATATTGTATATTTGGTTTAAAATAAAGATTTAAAATGCATAGAAATTAACTAAATCGATGGCGGCATATGTCAACCACCCCCCCC